TTATATTTTCGATTTCCTCTTTAATTGTACTCCCCTGCGAACAATGGCAGCTGTATTATGATTAACCATAAAGCACTCTCTACCTAAGACGATATTTATAGGATAAGAGATTTAATCATATTTTTTAATAAAATAACAAACACTTAGCTTTGCATTCCATGGAACACAGAAACCTAATTTTGTTTTGTTGGCTTTCTCTTTAGAAAATGCAAACTTATTCTTTTATCCAAAAGAAGCTTTTACTGTATGAAATAGATTCAATAACAGAATCTTATCTAAACTCTTTTGTTTGACTTTGGACCGTAAGCTCATAATTTATAGGGCCTGAAATCTTTTACTTCAATAACTTTTCTCATTAGCGGATTTTTCTCATTGGCTTCACATTGTTGACATAACTTTTGGTCTCTGTTTTTGGGTTCAACTTTTGGGCTAATTAAAATTGTTGCGGTCAATTGCGTTTTACGCTGAGTTGCGCCCAGACACCAGAGCCTCTCGGTGGCATGCTCTGCTTTATATAACAACACTTTCTCGGTACCTCCAACAACAACAACAACAACAACAATGGCAACGGCAACGGCAACACTTGTGCTAGTTTAGTTTTGGCCAAAACATTTAAGCCCTGCCAGAGGCCCACTTCAGGCAAAGCTAAGCTGAAAGTTTCTGCTGCCCCCAATACATGCGTATGTATGTATATTTATGTATGAATATGTGTGCATTATGTCGCATTACGTTTCTAATGACGCAGAAGCACCTGAGATCGAGTTGAATGTCCTTTTGTGTGCCTTACACGTGCCACTTTGCCCGCTTCTCCTGTCGCTAAAAAACAAATCGATGAATATGGCTGACATTACGGCTCGCATTTCCTGCCTCGATTGCAAATGTTTACGCAGCAATAGCTGAAGGCTTCGCCGTTGGTTAGGGCTGGCACGAGGCCACCGCAACTAGGTCAGGTCAGGTCAGGCCAGGCCCAGGCCGTAGGACTAGGCATCAAGACATCACGCCACCACTCGATAGCAGCTGACTGCGGACTGCGAACTGTTGTCTGCCTGCCTCAGTTGCCGGGCTGGCGTCATTCCAAGTTGTCCAGGGGCGTGTCCTCAACGGCTGCGAGTTCGGGCAAATTAATAAGCTAATGAAAAATACTATGTCCAGCTTTGGCTTGGCATGGAATAATTCTCTTGTAATTTGGTCACAAAACTCAAAGTAGACATTTTCGACTCGGATCGATTCGACAAGCTGCGTCAATATAAAGTTGTCTGTGTGTGGCAGACGCATCTTTCTAGGCTCACATTGTGGAAGCTGAGCTGTTGAAGCTTTGTACAGATGTTTCTTGTTCTCGTCTAGGGTAAATAAACACATATTTAACGATAAAACGCAGTTTTTATCAGCCCGAGTTGTTTATGTTTTTGGTGAAATTCCCAATTGACCCATTTTATTGAGTCGAAAGAATTAATATATCAAAGTAAAACTAGTTGAAATATTATTATTTTCAGCAGAGTTTTGCAAAAAAATAGTTAGAAACTTACAGAAACTTATGGAATTAAAGTTGCCAAAAAAATCCCTTATACTATATTTTTTTTTTATATCTCACAAAGTTTCTTAAATATATTGAAAGCGTTAGTTAAGTTTTAAGTTGTCCTAATTAAATAATGTCTACATTTTTTTCTAAAAATTGTGCTTTAAGTTCTTTAAACTTACAAATGTAAGACACATTTTAAAAAAATTCCAAAATTATCCAATCTTCTATAAAGCGATCTGCAAAACGGCTAGTTAATTGGCACCAATAAAAAATATTTAAATTTCTCACAAACTTTCTAATTTGGAGTATTATATGAATGATTTTTGCTTAGTTATGTTCTTAAGCCTTGTATAAAGATAAAAACATTAACATTTTCATGCTGATTTTCACTCTTTCGACATCTTTTTTTTTACCCATATCCATATCCAACCGTAAGCTTCACTTTTATTTTGCTCTCGCCAAAATAGTTTGCCAGGTTTCTTTAAGCTCCAAGAACTTGCTGAAGCTGCCATTACGCTCAGGTTACACAACTTGGTTAGCCCCTTCCCAGCTATCTAGCATCTTTTTAAATGTCGAAAACAAAACGAACGTAATCATCAACTTTGGCGGCAGTTTGTGTACGACGCCCGCGTGTCTGTTAAATTCGCTGCTCGAGAAGGGAACACGTCATCTGGAAATGTGCTTGACTGCAGATACTTTTACTTGGACGTGCCTCGCTTCGCTTGTAACCTTTTGCATTTGATTTATATAGTCTGTGACTCAGTTTGAGCTCTGTTGCCCTTTGTGGCTTGCACCTCCCAGCTTTGATGAATGCAAAAAACGTCAGCACATCGCGTGATTGGCCAACGTTTACCGCCTGCTCTAGGCCGTGTTTCACGTAATTTTGACCCTGTCAGCGGGAGAAGCTTTAACATTTAAGCAGCTGACGTATGCATCAATTAATCAATAATTTGTTAGCTTGGTGTGTTCAGAATTGGAATTTCTAGAAATTCTCTTGAATATAGAAAGTTAGATACACAAAAGTATTAACATAAACATAAACATTTAAAGACTTTTCTTTGACGTCAAGCTGTTTTATGTCTAGTTTTTTGTTTTACTTTGCCTCTCTTTAAAGCTTTTTGCACACTCGTCTAAAAAGAAATACGTAAATATTGCGCAAAGATTTAAAGTGAAATTCTAAGTCGTTTTTGCAACATTTATTTGCTCTACAATAAATGTTACTATGCTGAGATTGTCGTGTACTAGAATAAGTATAATAAAATGAAGAATAAAGAGAATACAAATGTCTTTAAAGAAGAATAGGTTTCTTTGTTCTTGGAATATATCCAAATGCAGCCTGAAACCAGAATCTGTTTTCTATATATCACGAATAAATTTATCTGCGACGTATTCCTTATCTTCTCGCATTGCTTCTCTATTGCGATATTGAGAAGTATTTCGCAAAAAATAAAGCTACGTAAAAGTTGCGCAAATATTTACAAGTAACATTCTGAGTCGCGTCATTTCAGCATTTAGTTTACCCACAATAAATTTATTTTGTTGCTACTTCATTGTTGTCAATCAAATGTTTTTGCGTGCTCATATCCATAAGTAAGTACAGCTGGCTGGTAAATAAATAATTTAGCATCTGGCTGGGTTTTTACAATGCAAATTGCAGTGTCATATAGTTTTTACGATGTCAGTCCTCATTGACTGGGTATTGACTACATAATTGTGTTTGCTTAAAAGGTCTTTGCCTCTTTAAGGGCCGCTGCACACGACGGAATTAATTAGTGCGTTGTTTGCGCCGCTAGGGGGCGCCCTGGTGTTAACTCGCTTTATAACTTTAGCTAACTAGCTTTATATTCCGTTGTGTTTTGTTGCATGTTGCGCATGAAAATTGTTAGGAAATTGTAAGCGCCAGATCGGGTAATAAGCCTGTAAGCCAAATGCGTTGAAAAAGTTTTAATTAACAAGCACTTTGCAGCAAGGCAAATGCCAGCCAAAGCCAGACCGAAAAAGTGTGCACCTCCTTTGTGCCATCGCCATGGCCAGATGCCAGCGAATTCCTGGAAAGTTCAACTGTTGAAATTTCTGCAGCGCATGTGAAACTAGTTTTTAGGGGCCAGCCAAAAGGTAAACAGAAACCGGTCTAAGCTGCTTGCGCGTTTGTCTTGGCCTTTAAATCAATCAGCTTCCAGACTTGCCCTGCGCTGGTCCGCTCCGTTACAGATACACACTCTCTCACACACGCACACACACACAAATACATATATATGTATAAACCACCTTTACATGCCCCTTTTGTACATCCGGTATGTGAAGAAATGCCCAACGACGACGATAAAAATCAAACTGGGACAAGCTTAATAAAAGCTGATACAAAAACATACACATACCATCTCGTATGGATACACACGCAGACAAAATTCAGTCGAAAAATATGATAATTAAAACCAGTTTATTTTGTTTTTTACTACGACCACAACAAACCAAAACAAAAACTGTAACCGCATGCAGTTCAGCGATCCATAACAATGGACGGAGCTGGTGCACGCCCGCCGACTAAACAATTTGGGAATTTTAAATACGTTTTCAACAAGCAATTCCTCGTATCACGTAAACAGCAGCAGGGAATAATCAACGATACACTAAAACCTATGCCAAATTGAGCAAATTTCCCATGTCACTTATGGGAATTAATATTTTGCCATCTCTCTGCACTCACATTCGTCTTACTGAGCGGGGTAATGCTGTGCCAGTCTAATGCTCAGCAGTAATTAATTTGTAAGCTATTCGTTTTATTAAGACTTAAATCGCGTAAATGACATGGGAAATTTTCAATAATGAATGTTCATTCAGCCATAAGTTCACATCATTCATCTCTGTTAGGGCAATGCCGTAGTTGTGGCAGGCGGAAATGTTAGTTTACATGCTGTTTGCTGCTATGTTAAATAGCCGCTGTGCTGGTGGAATCGCTGACGTTAGTGTGGTGATGTGCGTTGAGTTGCGGGTCGCGTGTGGTGGTTGTTTATCTGGGCTGGGGTTCGGGTTCGTTGCACGACGAGTAGTTTTTATAAATATGTATCTTGTGTGCCCCTAGGTTTGCTTTGGAATTCGCTGCTCAAAAAGCAATTTCATGTTCACATGGGGCAATAGCAACACGTTTTGTTATCACTCCACGGAGGGTACGCGTTACTTCATTGTTTAGCGGAGCTCTTCACTAGACTTATAAACGACATTACTTTTTTTTTCTTTAAATGTGATTTAATTTATATTTGAGAACGTTAATAATTTTATATAATGTAACTTTTAAATAGCACTCGCTGCAAGGGTCTTCGAACCGGGAACCTTGTTGTTCTTAACACTGATTTATCGGCTCATCTGCACTTAAATACATTTACCCATTTTTTTCGTTTAACAATTTTGTTTAAATATATTTGTTATTGTTTCAACCTTTTTTGTTTTTTTATATACACTCCTTATAAACTATACTTAATAATTGTTCTAGTTTACAAATAAATTTTAGGATGAAAAATGCATTGACAAAGAAAATACAACAAGATATCATGGAGTAAAATTGAACAGTGACTATTGTTGGGCAGCTAAACATTTCGCATATTTGCTTTTGTGGGCGACTCTCAGGCTTCTATAGCTAAGTACACTTGCAATTTAAATCTTAGATTTAGACGAACTCGTAGCCAATGCCAAACTGGAAACCATTCAAGACCTTGTCAGTGCTCTGCCTACGCACCGGGACACAGTAGTTCAGCTCGATCCGAGCACGCTCGGCCAGTTTTACAGCTAGGCCCAAGCCAAAGGCGCTGCGCATGTTGTCTGCGAAAAAAGAAATAGTTGAATTATCTAGCTCTAGCTGCTCTGAGTTAAGATTCTTTGTCTACATACCCGTTGTAAAGGAATTGCTATTGCCCATATTGTAAAAGAAATGCAACCGAAAATGACTAGCCAGGCCCTTGAAGACGCCTGCGAACGGCAACGGTGTCCACAGATGTGCGCCCGTGCACCAAAACGTTTGTGCACCAATGGGCGTGCCATCGATGACTGGCCCGGCGCCGCCGTACTTGAATCCGCGCAAAGTCAGCGGTCCACCGCAGTAGAATAGATTGTTAATGGGCAGCACAGTGGTCTTTTTCGTTTCCTTGAGGACGCCGACCCGTGCACAGAACTGTGCCACCAAGCCGGCAAAAAGCGGCACGTTCATCTCCCCGTGCGCCGTGCTGCTGGTGTACGCAATGTTGCCACCCAAGCCGCAATACTCGTTGACGGACTTCAGCAGAAAGCCGCGCGTGGGAAACACGCTGGCATCCCGATTGTCAAAGATAAGCGAATAACGCAGCAGCGATGCCAATTTGGGTCCACTGTGATCGCGTATTGCGAAGGGCACCGACTTGTTCAACAGACCCACGTCCCTAATCGAGTTCTCATACTGCAGCGAGTGTGTGAGCTGTGTGTAAAGCAGAAAAAGATAGATTACAATTCGGCATTCGAATTAGTATTATAATGTAGTTAAGACTCTCCTGTTATGGGTTGTCTTTAAACAGCTGTTATTATTTTTAACAGCTGTTTTTAGAATAACAGACAAATGTTAACAGGCCATCTGGTTTTGGTTTTTATACCATTGCAGAAAGTATTATAATTATAACATGAAATATGGAAACGCGCTAAAAATGCAGCCGTTAACTCTCTGTCAAACCTAATCTCTAAACATATTAATTATTAATAATTATAGCACCCACGGTGCAATTGGCTGAACTCTAAATTTATTATTATCCCATTTTAACTTACATCCACGCCCAGCATTGTGTGTGCGCTAAAGTCCAGCAAATAGCCCAGATTAGTTGTCTGAAACGAGCTGATGTCATATCGATCTGTCTGCCGAAATATGCTGAACGATATCCTATTAGGGCAGAGATTAAAATTAGTAATCAGCTAAGTGTTTAACGATTAAGCTATAGAATTGGCGGCTTACTCGGGTCGATTCTCTCGGAAGCGCGTGTGAAAGAAAGGCTTCCAGAATTTGAGCTGCAGATCGTTTGCTCTGGTGCTGCTGTAGCTGCCCTGCAGCGATATGCTCTCGCCGCGGCCCAGTATATTCGGTATGGTCAGCTCCGTGCGTAGAGAGCCCTCGTTTTGGCCAATCTCCGTGCCCGCCGAGCCCATGATGCGTGTGTACTCCTTGCCCTTGAGCGTCACCTCATACCCTTGGGGTGAGGCATCCGCACCCCGACTAATGTCAATGTGCACGCTCACATCCTTGAATATGCCCAGCTCATGCAGATACGATTTGGCTGCCATCGCCTCCAGCATCAGCTGCTGAAAGTTGTCCGCCTTGAACAGCCCCTCGGCGGCGCGCATCACATAGTCGTTGTGGGTGCGGAGCAGCCCACTCACGTTCACCCGATCCACGCGTGCGTTTATTTTGCTCAGATCGTATTTACTGTTCGGATCCCTAGGCGAGGACCCGCCATTTGGCGACTTGGACATTTCTGTGGGTTCTTTAGTGGGGAGACTGGTGGGGCAGGTGTTGATGATGTTTGTGTTAGTTGGCTGGCAACAACTGCAAATAAAATAAACATATATTTACATAGTTGTATAGGTGCCACGCGTATAACTTTATGAAAACAAAACAAAATATATTTGAAATAATTTTGATTTCCAGATAGCATTTTAATAGCACTATTCGAAAGTAAAGCTATAATCTATAAACAAACATATTCAAGTGATTTTCGTATCTGTAAAAATGCAAGTTTCTTTCTGGTTTGGAATACTCTTCTCCCTTTTTTTTTAAAGCCATAATTTAATGCGTCATATGCGACACACTTGACGTAATATATATACAATTTATTAAATTCGAATATAAGCTGTCAAAAATTTGAAAAAGTCTCTTCGAATAAAACAGAACAATAAGTTTAAGAAATGGTGGCCTTTGTTTCTCATACTAAAGATTTCTTCCTGATTGTTTACTTTTCAGATTGAACTGGAGAATCTCAATAGCGCTACGGATGAGATTAATAAGCTGGAAATCGAATTGGAGGTAATTCAAACTAAATGCCCCCAAAGCCAGCACTCAGTAATATGTTGTTATCCATTAATAGGAGGCGAACTCGACGTTTCGCATACTGCTAAATGAGTCGACGCGCCGCTTGAAACTCTCCTCCAAGAAGCTGGGCAACTGCATTGAGAAGGCGCGTCCCTACTACGAGGCGCTGGACAAGGCACGCGAGGCGCAAATCGAATGCCAACAGGCGGCAGTCAAATTTCAGCGTGCCAATGGTGAGTAAATCGGCAAATCTCATTTGGAGCGTCTGCTAATGGATAGTGCATTCTTACAGAAATCCATGCGGCAGCCAAGGAAACGGTGGCGCTGGCCGAGCAGCGTTTCATGTCCAACTCTCATGAATGGCAGTTCGACAATGCCTGGCAGGAGATGCTCAATCATGCCACACAGAAGGTAATGGATGCGGAGAAACAGAAGGCCGACTGCCATGCGGAACATCAGCGACGCACGCGGCAATTTCACCTCGCCGAGCAGAAGTTGCAGCAGCTGGAGGATCGCTTCAGGCGCAGCATTAATAAATCGCGCCCTTACTTCGAGGAGAAGCAGGTCTGCCAGGATCAGCTGCAGACCCAAAAGAATCGCATACAGGAGCTCCAGCAGCAGGTGGGCTGTGCCAAGACGACCTATTCCACGGCCCTGCGAAATCTAGAGCGCATCAGCGAGGACATACACAGGCAGCGCGGTGATTATCCAGCGTTAAGCGGCTCTCCGCCACCGCCCGGACCACGTGAGCCGGGCGTGGGCGCCGAACTCAACACTCCCACCTCCAGTGCGTTGCCATCGCTGCCAGACTTCCAGCTTGAGCTGGAAAAATGCGACTTTCCATCGATAGCGGGCAGTCAAATGTCTCTGGGCGCTGGCACCGCAGCCACGCAGTCCACTGTTGAAACGGAGGACGAAGCGGAGGGGGACAATGTCTGCGACTACGATGAAACAGGATTGGGTAACGAGCTCCGCGGCGTTGTCGATGAACGTCAGTTGGAGGCATTACGCCAAAAGGTCAAAATACTCGCAGTGCGACCCATCGAAGGCGGCGACGGTCAGCAGCAGAATGATGTGTGGGAGCACGAGCTGAAGGCTACGGTTGACAAGCTTGATCATCTGATGATGCTTAAGGAAGCGGCCAAGCATCAGCAAACCGAGCGCGCCAAATCCACAGAGCTGCGGCCAGATTCACTGGGCGCCGAGGCGCTCAAGCGCCACAGCGACGTGGACGATGTCGACGCCAGAGATGTTGTCATCAAAATCAACACCGCCGTCTCAGTTGCCCACAGCCTGCCCGTCACGCCGCAGCATCAGCCCGGCAACCCAGCGAGCTCCATTAAGAAGCTGCAGCAGCATCTGGCGCCGTTGCCATCGGTGAATGTTTCCATGCGTGAGCTGCCCCTACTAGCGCGGCTCTCCAACGAGCTGCTCGACCGCAGCAGCGCTGCCATGGGCAGCGTCCGCAGGCAACTGCGACGTCGCTCCCTCGAATAGCAGCAGCAGCGGCAGCAGCAGCAGCAGCGGCAGCAGGCGCAGCCAGTCTCTAGAAACTCTACAGCCGTTACGCGTATATCAAATTTAAAGTTAGTTTATATTAAATGAATTGTAAACGTGAACGCAAGTGAATGAAACGCATTTAGTTCACACTGAATATTGAATATTGCCTACAAACATATATATATATATATATAGCATATATATCTACATCTATTTTCGTATCTATTAAGTATCATAAATGTTGAGTAAAGTTGAGTGTCCTGCATTTGGGTGCAAACTTCAAAGCAGGCGCTTAGCAATAAGCAGCTTTAAGTTAATGTTTAACAAAAAACAAAAAGAAAAATATAACAAAAAACAAATGCAACTCACTTATTAAAGAGCACACGAAAATGGGCACATGCACTAAATAGTTTAGCCTAAAATAACACCAAAAAAAAAAGAGAGCGAAAAGAAAAGGGCACCCGTTCGAAAATGAGAAATGCAACTGAAACGAATTCAATTAGCCGTTTTGGCGAAATTCTCAAAGATTGTGAAGGATGTAAGTGGAAAAGTGCATAGAAGAAGGCAAACAAGTATTTCAGTGTAGTTAAAATACAATTTTCAATTTAAAAAAATAAAAATTTACATTGTAATTGAAATGCGAAATTGTCTTTCCTTATGAAACACTGATCCAGTTAGTTTCAAAAGAATCTCAACTGACAGACAGATATGTTTTATATTCCTGCATAGACATTGGGTCTGTCTTGTCATAACTGACTTAAAACTAACGGTTCTGCTGGGAGTAATTCATTCTTAGCTTGTTTTCTAAACAACCCGCATGTTATCAAGTTTACCATAAGAGACGATAGCTTAACTTTATTCAAAAATGCTCCACTAAAGATCCATATAGTATTCAGTATGCAACTCATTAGCTATTGCAGTTTAAGGCGCCTAAAAACTATAATAAAGTATGATGTCATTTGCTGCCTGCAGTTCGACACAAATCTATAGAAGCAAAACAAATTTGGCCCGCAGAAGCCCGAAAATTATGTAAGCCAATGGCTCTAGGAAGACTTACCTGATTTCGTGCCACTGCGTTTGCTGGCCACACGCGACAGTCGAATTTGGCGGATTCAGTTAGAAATTTTTATAAAATATAAACAAACTGAAAGGCGCCTTTGCCAGACAATTTTTAACAAATTTCTTTCGACTTGAAACGCACGCGTGCGGCACCAACTAATAATCAACTAGAGATGCGAGACATGTGCGATATATCACTGTTACAGGCACGTGCATATACATCACGAGTATCCCATGTCCATGTAATGTGACATAATAGTATAAATAACATTATGTCGATATAACATGATAATGTTCGGTTAGTGCTAAAATACAATATATAAGCAATATAGCAATGGAGAACATAATATGAGTCACTGATATTTACATGTCGCAGTATTGTGACTCAAAATATCGCTCATCTCTAAATTCAGCAGCTAGAGACGGCACCGGTCGAGTCCGTGAGTCTGGCTACTATCGGGTTTGGCATTTCAATTGTTTATAACAGCTGTTTAAATTTGTTTTTCCCCTAAGCGCTTGAAATACGCAACAAATAAAAAATTTAGCAGCATTCCCATTCTGCAAATAATATACACTTGCATATGTGAAAGTTTTTAGTTAAATAATGACAGAAAACTTTTCTGAAAGCGCAGAATCGCGCCAATTAATGTTTAGCTTATTCATTGTATTTGTTCATTAATAAATTAAGTAGAACTGGGAATGGGCGGGCGTTTTCAAATTTATTTTGAAGGTGCATACAATTTTTCTAGGTTTATTGCTTAGCATTGTTTACTTTGGTGCACTTGATGCCATTTGATTGCAATTTCCGCATTATATCCAGGGCGAGCTGCTTTTTCGCATCTGCCTCGCTAGAACTGTCCATGGTTTCGCGTGTATTGCGGCGCTTGACTTCCACGCCGCAGGCTCGCAGCTTGTTGAGTATTTGTTGGGTGTCGCCGTTGGCCGTATTAGCCGCTGGCATGGGTATGGAAACCATGGGTGGATTTGCTGCTGTTGGACTGGTTGTTGTTGTTGTTGTTGCCGCTGCTGTTGATGTTGTTGCGTTGGCTGGGCGGGCATTTCTCATTGCTTCCAGACGTCTTAAGTCGTCTACGATATTTTGCACAACATACATTTCATTTTTGATTTTAGCTGTCGTTGCAGGCATTTCCAAACTGGCGCGTAATTTGTGTTGTTGTTGGTTCGAGAGAATGGTGCGCTTCGGCGTGGAATGTCGCATACGCTTGGCTGGGGATTCGGGCGACTGCGGATGCGGCTGCTTCTCTTTTTCAAGATCCTTTGCTGTTAGACTGCGCGTGCGGCTCTTGGCCACATTTTCTTTGGCATTGGTGGGCGATTGTTTTGCTTTGTTTGGCAGTGTCCGAGCGTCGTCTGTGTACCAGCGCGGATCCTCAAGCTCCGCTTCCCAGTCTATGTCACAGTTCACGCTGTTTATATTCCGCACTGCGTCAGGCTCATAGATGAGCAGCTGAAAGGCAAAAAGTTTGATAGATAGTTTGCTTATAAAACTTATGGACACACCTACCTCTTGCTTTCCATTAACGAGCCTTGTCTCCCGCTTCTCCTCGTCATACTGCAGCTCATCAATGGACGTGACTATGTGCTTGATAGCAATGCATTTGCTTAGATGCGTCTGGAATGCCTCCATTGATAAATAATGTCGCTGACAGGAGCGGCACAGCATTATCAGGCGCTTTTGCTGATCATATAGTACATCGCCAAAGCGCACAAGCCGCAGCGATTTAAATTTGCGATTGCCGTTCATTTGTGTTTTGTTGTTAATCTTCCTAATATCTTGTTATTGCCTTGTCCTAAGCTTCCTTTTTTTTTGATTGCTTGTCACGTATTACGATAATTGCTTAATGTGAGGGCCTTTAAGATTGTTTAAATATTAATTGTTTTTGTATCTTTTTCCGAATTGGAACGTAAGTAATTGAACGATTGGTTATTAATGCATGGTCTTTTAGGTGAAATCAAAATGCATTCTTACCATTACTTAAAGTTGCCATCACAAATATCAGTGCATGCTAATTACGACTAAATAATCTCTTCTTATGTTTATTTATATTTATTTTTTTAAGTTTGTGAATTAATGCGTTCTGGTAGTAATAATTGGTGGCGGCAGGCTGATACACTCTGCAATTCGAACGATATGCTTTCGATAAGAAGTGGCGGCATGAAGATTATTAAAGTGCTTGAAAATGGCACAAGGCCAGTGTTGGTAATCATATTGTATCGACATTGGCGCGCATTTAAATTTTTTACTCTGACATTATTTGCTTATCTATTTTATGATATTTCAACTTTTGTCAATTTAATTGTCTGGTTTACTTTGCAGCCTTTTTCTATGCATCAGTTTTATTGTTGATTTTCAATGGCAGTTGGCTTTTGTTGTCATTGATTAACGCCCATGCAATTGAAATTAAATCGCTTGCAAATGATTCGTATGGTTGATAGTGAAACAAAAAACGGCAGCAAATGCGCACCATTTGTTTGCCATTTTTTTTACGAAGCTCTTGTCATACTACAAACATACATATGTACACGGTCTGATTTTGATTCCCCGACTCTGCTGTAGGACGCGCAATCCGAAAAAAAACAACAAAAAATCCCTTTTTAATGTTTTGCGTGTCGCGGCACTTGTGCAATGTACTACTTTTTTTAACGTTCCATTGCTGCAACCCGTAAAAAGTGCTGCACATGTTTCAGATCACGTGAACACACGCATGCACATGTGTACCTCTGGAAAAGTCAGACCTATAATCACCTGGCCATCAAGTTTTTAAAGTTGTTGCTCGCCTTTTGTTGATATTAACGCTTAAAAATTGTTGAGAAACAAAACCCAATATGCATGTTTAAGAATTGACACTAAGAAAACGCTGCAGCAGACGTAACAGGCCCGAAAGTAGGAAACACTTTCTGGTAGCAGCAATTGGATTTCGGTAGCATGAAGTTGCCAATGCAGTACCATGCAATTAAGTAAGGGACGCTCGACCTGGACCTGTGCCTCCGCCTCACTATGCCCCATCCCCTCATCCTATATGTATTCCCTGGCCCATCTGCTGCCGTTGCCGTTGCCGATGCCGTTGTATGCTGACCATGCAAATTACGTTGCCCACAGACACACACCGACACAGATAAAGGCACGCACATTCACACATATGTGTATGGACACGCAGCCCTGTCACCATTTGGCCGTGCGTTTGAGTGATGCAGTGAGACAGGGAAACAGAGAGAGGGGCCAGATGGCCAGAAGCTAGTCCGGACCAAAAATCCAACCGATGCCAGTGCATGTACGGCCAAAGTTAAGTTAAATGGACTTGCGGTGCACTCAAGCAGCCGAAACACACGCACACATACACGCACACACACACACACGCACCCACTTTAAGCAGTCTGGGTGTGTGTGTGTGTTTGTGAGGTGCCTGGACTAGTCCATGTCAAGGTAGCAACTCGACTAGTAGATTAAATTAAACGCAGCAACAGTGCAACTGCAGCCGACGCAGGAGCAACTGCACCCGTGCAACACAGGGGCAACAACATTAAACGTGTTTACACCATGTCCGACCAGTTGATATGCCAACTGCTTTGAAATACACACACGCAGACACACACACACACTTACACTTGCATGGAGTGGTGCGTGCAGCGGCTAACTCTGGACAATGAACACTTGGAATTCCACAGCGTCGTTGTCAACTATTGCCACCTTTCTATTGTTGCCTGTTTTTGTTTACAGTTTTTAAAAGTGAGGCGCATGTGGAAAAAATCACTGCATACTTTCAGGTGCAGCGTCTGTCATAATGCAATACAATGGTTAGTAAGGGGGGGGGGGGGAAGGAAGACGGTTGGGTAGGTACGCTTCTGTTTGTGCGCATTGTGCGCGCTCTGACTTTGAATTAGCCTTTGGCTCGCTGTGCTCCACGTTGGCCACACACACAGACACACACATACACAGGTGGACTTCATCCATGTCAAAGTGCTGCATGCTTGCAGGCAGCTGCAGCTTTGTCACAAATTCTCTGTGTGCTTACCTGAGCGCGCGCGCGCTTGTGTGTGTGTGTGTGTGTGTGTGGAGGGGTCCAGCAAGTTTGGTTAGTTGACTTTTTAAAAACCATAGCACACACTTGTGCTGTCATTTGGTGAAGCATCTTGCAACTGAGCTGCAAAATATTGTTGCCTACTTCAAGGTAAGCACTGCGCAATAACGTCTATTTAAGTTTTAGGTTTGTTTTGAAGCTGTGTCCACTATGCTTAGATTTTCCAGGCACAAGTTATTGTCTTATTTTCATTGACATTAGGTAATAGAAAAGACTTGTCAAATGCCACACAATAAATAAATCGCATGCCGTACAAAACTTAACTGAGGGCACATTTAAGCCCTTATTTAGGCTCTTTGATCTATTCTTCTTAAAACTTTTTACTACGGATATATTTTTTTTAAGTGTTGCTCAGATTTCTAGTTAATCATGTTTACTTAACGTAAGTGATTTGCTTAGATTCCCGATTGATATATATATTTTAAAATTATCTCAAATCGGCTATATTATATCGAATAAAGTAAAATTTTTTGTCTAAGAACACAGTTGATATATTTACACCTGGTTAAAGCTGCTGCTAAAAAGGTTATTCAGATCCTGGTTAGAGAGTTTACGATTGCTTGTTTTGTTAAACTTGTTTTGTTGTTCAAGTTTTTGTTGAGTTTCTGTTTACTAGATTTTAGAAAACGTTTTGTTAGTTGTTGGGTTCACTTGAAGAAAAGCAGGAAAAGTGCTTTAGGCTGTCCGGTCTTCTATTGACCATACGAATCAAAGTTAACGGAAAACATTGCATTGCATTTTTCTGCTTCAACTGAGCTACCAATGTCGTTTTAGCCATTCGAATCAATGTCTTAATATTACGCTCATTTATTGACCAAGCGCAAACAAAGCTGCAAAAGTCAGGTAAAATTGCTATAAACGCTGCCCCTCCCCTCCCCCTCCCCTATCCTTCATGCGTGTGTGTATTTGTGTGTGTGTGTGAGTGGGTGTGCAAAGAAGACTTTAGAAAAATAGACAAATGCAGCTGCGCTCACTTCCTGGATGACTGCTGGCTATGGCCATGGCTATGGGATGGCTATGGCAATGGCTTTTTGGCTTCAGAATCAGCTTCGGCTGAGGCTGCA